ACAGGGGTGTGTGGTGGAGGGCGCGTGGACAGGGGTGCGTGGACAGGGGTGCGTGAACAGGGGCGCGTGGAGAGGGACGGCGCTGCCCATGGGGACGGCGTCAGCACCCGGGTTGTGACATTGTGTTACAGCCTCCCAAGGTAGCGGATACGGGACAAGGGGGCAAAGGCTCCCTCTGCGTTCGTTCTTACAGCCGCATGTAACCTACAACTACACAAAACTAGAAAGTTCCATCTTAAAAGAATGCGTCCATTAAAAGGCACATTTAAAAGTCCAGGTCCTGCCAAAGCAGGCGAAGTGCAATTAGCTGACGGCAGAAGGGGATACGCGTCTCAGAAACGGGACGGCATCCTCAGGGGGGAGCCACGCCAGCGGCCCGGGCCGCCCCACCCACCGCCACGGGCTCTGGACAAACCAGTCTGGGGAAGACGGCACCCTCTCCCTCATCCCTGGAAACCCAAGGCACACGGCGTGTTAACGGCCGGGAGCACCACGCAGCTGCCACCCGTTTATCCTGAACACCCAGATGGACAAGCGCAGTTGATCCCTGGGCCCCTGGGCACCTGGTTTCTTTGCCCAAAGCACAGCGCGGGGATTCTGGGTCTGTTCGGGGCGTCCAGGCTGCTACGAGGCCTTCCTGCCAAAGCAGGCGAAGTGCAATTAGCTGACGGCAGAAGGGGATACGCGTCTCAGAAACGGGACGGCATCCTCAGGGGGGAGCCACGCCAGCGGCCCGGGCCGCCCCACCCACCGCCACGGGCTCTGGACAAACCAGTCTGGGGAAGACGGCACCCTCTCCCTCATCCCTGGAAACCCAAGGCACACGGCGTGTTAACGGCCGGGAGCACCACGCAGCTGCCACCCGTTTATCCTGAACACCCAGATGGACAAGCGCAGTTGATCCCTGGGCCCCTGGGCACCTGGTTTCTTTGCCCAAAGCACAGCGCGGGGATTCTGGGTCCGTTCGGGGCGTCCAGGCTGCTACGAGGCCTTCTGGGCCTCGGGGAGAACAGGCGCCCCCCTCCCCCCCCACCCTCCGTGGAGGCGAGAAAACGGAACCGAGGCAGAGACCCGGTTCTCTGGGCTTTCTCTGCCCGGAGTTTATCCTGTGCTCAGCACTGTGCTCAGCAGAATTAACTGTGTCCCAGTTAATCTCCGAAGCCAGGGCTTACGAATGGATACAGACACGAGGCTGTTTCAAGAGAGAGCCGGACTGAGGGTCAACATCGTTGCAAACTGAGGGTCAACATAGTTGCAAGCGGCTGGGCTCAGGGAGAGCAGGTCTGGCTCCAAGTCCTTTACCACTGGGCCCCCTTCCTCCCCGGAGAAGGGAGGGTGACGTGCACGTGGATGTCGTTAGACACAGGTGTGGAGAAGAGACCTGTCTAACCTGTCCCAACTTTCACCTGCATTTCAGCCGCCAGGAGAAGAGGGAGCCCTCCCCCAGGTCCCTAACGCTCGGAGCTTCCCCGGCCTCCAGGCCCGTGCGGTTCCCTTTGTCCTGGACAGGTGTCTACCCTTGGCCGACTGACCATCCATCAGTGTGGCTTCCATCCCCTTCTCTGGGAGTCGCCCCCCGACCCTCCGGCTTGAGTTAGGGCCCCTGCGATGTGCAGCGGTCCCCGCGTTCAGAGCACTTGTCCCAGCGCTGCCTGTTGGCGTGTGTGCCTGAGAATAGAGCAGTGGTTCTCAACCTTCTGGCCCTTTAAATACAGTTCCTCATGTTGTGGTGACCCCCAACCATAACATTATTTTCGTTGCTACTTCATAACTGTAATGTTGCTACTGTTATGAATCGTCATGTAAATATCTGATATGCAGGATGGTCTTAGGCGACCCCTGTGAAAGGGTCGTTCGACCGCCAAAGGGGTCGCGACCCACAAGTTGAGAACCGCTTCACTAGACTGAGCTCTGAGTCCCATGAAGGCAGAATCTCCGTGCACTTTGTACACACTAGGTGTCTGCCACACAGTAGGTGCTCAGAGTCCGGAACAAGTTAATACTTGAATCAAGGAAATCAAATCAAATAAACAGGAGTGCCGATCCGTCTAAGATCCAATCTCCCTGATCATGGGCTGAAAATCTGCAACCGCGGAAGGACCGGCCAAATTCTTTCTACTCTGAGCTGAGCACATGGCTGGCGAAGCAGGCAGGCTCTGCGTGAGGCACAGCTGACTCTGTTATTAACGAGTCCTTAACTAGTTAACTAGCTGGGTGACCCGAAGCAAGGTCCCTCAGCTCTCCGGTTGTTCCAGGGAGAAGTAAGCAGTGCGGCCCCACAGGGCTGCTGGGATGGAACAAGGAAATGCATAATTAAGGGTTCCGCCCACGGCCTCGCCATCGGTCAATGTTCAATAAATATTAGCTGCGATGGCCGATGGCCGTGAGGAGAAGGAAGAAGATAAACCCTGAACAAAAGATAAGCTGGAAAAGGTAGGAAGCCTCCCAGTGGGAGAACAGGAAGCAAGTAACAATGTCACACCCTCCTGGCTGTGCGAGGACCACCCTGCGGGAGGGAGGGGGTGGGGAGAGGGACAGATACCTGGAAAGTACCGGCCAACTCATTCGTGGCCGAAGGGCCAACAGAAAGTCAGAAATGCCCATGACAAGGCGGTCCCCAAAGTCTTCATTTAAGCAACTGAGTAACTGGCTTTCTCAAAATTCAGAGACTCCCAAATCCAACTTAGAGGCGGCTAATTCGTAGACCGTCGTGCTCAGACTTGAAGCGGTGGGACCTTGACTATTTCTATATCACTTCCTGCCCGTGCAAGGGCGGCGCGGCCGGGACACGCTGGGCGGGGACTCTAGGAAACGCTCAGATTCCAGGTCCCAGAGCCCATCCCTCACATCCCAGCACCTTACAGCTTCCCCGGAGCCGGCT